TTGGCTTGTTTATTTATTTATTTAATTTTTTTTATGCCTTGTTTGAATTTGTTCACTGGTATTGATCGTGGAAGAAATGTAATAAAATATCTAATTTCTAAGAATGATTGTGTGAGTAACTTGGAAACAGATTTTCAAATTAGGAACAATTAAAAAATGTTATTACATAATGAAATTCAATGCTGAATCTAAAGAAGAATGTGGATGACAATTCGAACTTAGTTTTAACTTTTATGATCGAAGCTTGTTCGGGATATTTGCGTTCTTGTTAATTTTTTTCGAACGGGAAAAAGAGAAAAATATTGAGTTTCGAATCGGTTTGAACAACCGAACACCTCAACTTATAATATGTCATTTTTGGAATACAACCAAAGTACATGTCGTATTATGCATTGTAGTTTTTGTACAGCTGAAAACTAGCACGTTTATCTGATTATTTTGACCACTCGTTTTACGGCGAAATCCTTTTTATGCTTCTTCGGATTCTATATTTTTGAGTTTTGTTTTTTTCAGTAAATATCTTGTTCTTCATTAGCATACCCGATATTTGAAAACGTATTTGGGCCCGTTTACGCAGTTTCAGTTGATAACTTGACGTCATATTGTCATAAATATGTATGATTAAGAAATTTTATTTAATATAATTCTGGAAAATTGTGGCTGATGATCGAAAGTATTTGAAGGAATTGATAAAAATTTGAAGGAGTTTGATTAATCTTGAATTGCTACCATTTTAACTTGCGTGCTGTTCTTTATCGAGTTTAGGTTCTTGAAAAGGGCATCATGTATGAATTTTTAATATTTGGCTCGTATTTTTAACTCTGCTATTGAATTAGCAGATCAATGTTTAGGGTCCAGTAACTTGGCTTTCAGTTTGACGAGCACAAGGAAATTGCCAGCTCAGAGAAGGGGAATCGTTGTTCAAGCAAGTTATAGGTATACCGTATATTTACATCCATGAAATTTTTATTTCCTTCTATTTTTTTTTCTACTTCGTCGTTATTATGTGTTTGACTTCACTTATTATTGCCCCTTAATTTCTCAGAAATTACTTTATAGTCTTTTTTTAGTACGGTAGATGAATACGGGAGACGTCTTATTCGGTGGAATGTAATTTTAATAGGCCGGTCTTGTTTAGGAATATTGATGGTTTGATAAAATCAATTGAATTGGATAGGATAGGATAGGAATACATTGTCCATGATTACATAATATGTGTTTATGTTATGTTTGGTATTAATGATTATACAATCCGTGTATCGGGTAATATCCTTCATGCGATTTTGTAGTAATAGGGGTTGAGGTTGGACTCAATATCATTCATATGCTTATTCAATGATTCACAAATTGTAATCATAATATATATATATATATATATATATATATATATATATATATATATATATATATATATATATATATATATATATATATATATATATATATATATATATATATATATATATATATATATATATATATATATATATATATATATATATATATATATATATATATATATATATATATATATATATATATATATATATATATATATATTGGCAAATAAAAAAATTTCCACTTTTTCCCATGCAATCACAGCAATTCCACCACAAAGAAGCTTAAAGGCTAAGTAATTTATAGTACCTCAGCATCCATCAGTTATCCTAAAATAATTAATTAGTGCGATAGAATAATTAATAAATATTAAATTATTAAACAAAACACACATAAGCGTACACGATGTTCGATTGCTGTTCTTCCCCTCTTCTGAGCCATCTCTGCCATGGCGCAATTAGTGAACTCGACCCAAATTAATTAACATACTAAGATCTTATTTAATTGGAAAGATTAGTCATTATAAACTAATAAAATAAGTAGACTTTGCTTAATATAATGTTTGGTATCCCCATTAACTTGTCGGGTCGACCCGCAAGTCCAGTATAAAATAATAGGATTTTCATAGAATGTTTAATTTTATCTTGGTTAATCTTATTGTGTCAAGCAAATGAGTATAATTTATTAGTAACTTACACTAAGAAAAACCCTAATTATTATTTAGTGTGTGTTTGTGAAAAAAAAATAATTAATTAATAAACATATATCATCCTCTCGAAACCCTAAAAAGAAATAAAAACAAAATTAGACAGAGTGAAAACAAATTAGTAACTGCTTGGTGTTTTGTGTGTGTGTATGCTTTCTCTATATAAATATATACAAGCATAAAGCTCATAGCTTTATTTTAGCTCCTATTATTCTCATTCTCCCCTTTATTATTCTTTCTTTTCTTTTTCCCCTCTCTCTCTCTCTCTCTCTCTCTCTCTCTCTCTCTCTCTCTCTCTCTCTCTCTTTTGTTCTAAGCCTCCATTTGATGTGATTCTCCACTACAGCACCAAAGAAACCACAAAACCTTTACAAAAGAGAAAGCTAAAGATCTACAACAATGGTTTTTTCTTCCATTCCAGCTTATCTTGATCCCTCCAACTGGCACCAGGTTTTTTAGGGTTTTTTCTTTTTTTAATTCCTTTTTTTTTTCTTTTTACTTTTGATTTTATTTATCATATGCTTTCATGGTTTAGCTTCTTTGCAAGAAAAAAGCAAAAAAGAAAAATTCAAAAGACAAATATTCCCATGGTTCTTTATTTTTCATCAACTATTAATTTGTTACCATACTTTATAAATTTTCTTGAATATACCTCATGTATATGTGTGTGTGTGGTGTGTTTTCTTTTTCTTGCTTTGCTTTTATTTTATTTTAATTTTTTTATTGAATGATTTTTATGTAGCAACAAAGCCATCAAATAATTGGGAGGAGCAGCAGCAGTGGAAACCCTTTACTTCCACCACCACCACAGCCGCCAGGGCCGCCGCAGCAGGGGCCGCCACCGCCACCACAACATCCTCAGCAGCCGCATGGAGGAGGCGGAGCTGGATCCGTCCGGCCCGGATCCATGTCGGAGCGGGCCCGTATGGCGAATATTCCGATGCCGGAAACATGCCTCAAATGCCCCCGTTGCGATTCGGCAAACACAAAGTTCTGCTACTTCAATAACTACAGCCTAACCCAGCCGCGCCACTTCTGCAAGACGTGCAGAAGGTACTGGACTAGAGGCGGCGCGTTGAGAAACGTGCCGGTCGGCGGTGGCTGCCGGAGGAACAAGAGGAGCAAATCCTCCTCCAGCTCGAAGTCTCCGGCGAGCAGCGAACGGCAAACCAGTACCAACCCCACTTCTACGAGCACCATTTCCACAAACAATGGCGGCGCCGCCGCTAATAATAATATGCTTCCACCGCTAAGATTCATGTCTCCTCTAGGTCAACTAACTACAGACAACTTCGCCGGCGACATGGGTTTGAACTACAGCGGAATGACGACGGCAGCTCCTCTGGTGGGTACGACACACGAGATGAACTTCCACGGTATTACCAGCAATCTAATGGGTCCCACCGGAGGTCTGGCCGCTTCGCTTATGTCATCAGGTGATCACGGCGGCGGCAGTATTGAGCCGTGGCGGCTGCAGCAGGTTCAGCAGTTCCCTTTCTTCGGCGGCGGGTTAGACCCAACTTCGCCGGGGATGTACCAATTTTACGGCGGCGAATCGGGGTTTATGGGCGGAGGTCTGCAGGGCGGCGGGAGTCATAATCAGGTGAGGGGTAATAATAAAGGTTCGTCGTCGTCGTCGGTGAAGATGGAAGAAAACCCAGCGGAGCTGAATTTATCGAGGCAGTTGTTAGGTGGATTCATGGCGGCAGGAAATCATGAGCAGTGGATTAATAATAATACAAGCAACATAAGTACCCCAGCTGTTAACTGGACTGAACTATCAAGCAATAATTTCAGCTCTTCTTCCACCAGCAATCCAGTTTAGAAATCTTGACCTAATTTATACATACATATATATATTATATATATTTCAGTATATATATGTGTGTTTCAAGAAATATTGATGGAGATTGGAAGTTTTATCTGTGAAAGAAAGCTTGACTGAAAATTACTGTATGTGGCGGCAGAAAAGTGATGAACTCCCTTGTAATATATCTATGAGCTAGGTGCGGGCGGGCCGGGCTTGTGCGAAGATCGGAAGCTAATTAAGTGTTTGTTGGCCGGCGCCTGAGTAATTAGTCCGGCTCGGCTATGGACGGGCTGGAAAACCCTAGATTGATCACCGGTAGGTTTTTGTTTGTTTTGTTTGTTTGTTTGTTTGTTTATTTTGATTTGTAGCCTAATATATAATATATAATATGTTTTGATCTTCCTGAGAATGTTAAGACAACGTAACTTGAATATGTTATTTCTTGTATGTGTGTGTGTGAATATATTGTGTGCCCTAGTTTACTCCCAGCTTCCAATCTTTCAGATGAAAAGAATATTAATTAACCTTTAATTCATTTTAAAATATTCATATATAGCATATTCCATAATCCATTACTACGAACCATAATTTTTCGTTAGCTAGTTTTATTTCTCTATAAACACTTATAAATATATATAATTCATGAATTTTCCGATGCGCCTTTTAATAAAGGAGTAATTCGCTTCTACGCGAGCTAGTGCATGGACTAATGTGAGTAAACTGATCATCCATATGCATGTTAAGATTTGAATCTGATTTTCTTTTTGAACTAATAATTTTCTGTATATATATATATATATATATATATATATATATATATATACTTGGAAACTGACCGAAAGAGAGAAACGACGACCTCCTCTTAATATTCTTGCAGATAAATTACTGTTTGCCCTAATAAATTATGTGTTTCTGTTGTCAAGAAAATTCGAATACAAAAACCTTTAAATTATAGGGTTTTATGCATGTTGAATTAAATATACATGATGCTTATAATTATATTCATATCGAAGTTTACAATTTCCTGAGAGACAGTACTTTATATATGATGTTGAGCTATTTTAAGCTCGAGCAATAATCGCTTTCTTTAGATAGGATTGAAGGTGATCACATTCTTTACCACGGTTAAATCCATGTAGAGCCAGTTTTTTTATATATAAGGGTTTATTTAATTAACACAACATTGCCAATATATTCAGGCTATATATATATACATGATGTAATTAAACAGGTTGGATAAATGTCTGTGCATGACCTCAGGATGATCATTGTATGCATGGTATTAGTAGAATCACAAATTAAATGAAATAATTAATAATCTATATATAGTTAGCTCCAATGCTACCTACCTATATACATTAATGAATATTGTAACCGAAATAACTATTAATTAATCTTGAGCGTTTAATCAGAATATCTAGGAAGAGGTTATAAGTTGCATTTTCACTTCCCAATAACTTCGTCTCACTGTGAGAGAGTAGAGAGGGAGAGATCTAGAGAGAGAGAGAGAGAGATACGTGGAGAACTTTTGAATATTATGTAGAGATGATCGATGATGACGATTAAGGTACAAACCTCGAGAGATTGGACAAAAGTCTCAAAAGACGACCCGACCCTGAAGCAGAACTACTCATCAATTTCATGCTGTAAATATATACATCATTCCTTATTCCAATAATAATTCCTAACCCCCAAAAAAAGTGTTCAACAACGTAACAATTAAAGCAAAAAAAAAGTTAGTTAGAGAAGAGAATCCTCGATTTCTGTTCTGCAAGAATAATCACGTAAAGACTGCAGTACTGCACACCATTTATAGAGTGTTATATAGTACTGATGATTGATGTCTTGAACACAACAAGCCCAAGATATGTTATGAGAGATCTAGAGAGAGAGAGAGAGCTAGAGAGAGAGAGGGGTTCCTTATGTACTGATACGATGATAGATCTGTTGTAATTAATTTACTTTTAAAAATTGTAGTAATATTGATCATGTTTTTGACAGAACAACGTTACCGGTTACTGTGTTGTTAATTGTGGCTGTTATAGGATGAAATAATAGTACTGATAATAATAATAATAATAATAATATAATTAGGCATCTCTTTGTCCATTAATTGTATAGGTTAATTGAGAGCAAGAAGCTAGTAGTGTGGTTGTGGTTCGTACAAGTGGAATATTTCCTCATCTTATAACAACAACTGATCAACCAAATTAAACGAATCTTTTTATTTGGTATTAATAATATTATTTCATGCACTTTTGTAAGAATCAATCAAAGCCTGCTCCTTACCATAAACGAATAAAGTTACTACCACCCTCCCACCTCACCACCACCACCACCACCACACATTAATTAATTAACCCAATTAGTATTTATAACATTAATTACCAGAGTAAAATAGTATATATTTGGACACTTTATATATGCATGGGGGTAATTATATATATTGCACTTTGGCCTAATCATTTTTATACTAGCTATATCATGTACTAATTAGAACATTGATTACGTACGTTGGAATGTTGGGCTCGGAAATTCAAGCCAGATCTTGCTATTTGCTCAATAAATTCCTATATTAATCTACACACACACTGACACACAATACTGGTGTGGTGTGTGTACAGAAGGCCATGCAGCTTTAGTTTTTCGCTTTTTACAACGTTCTTTGTAATAATAAATTAAAAATATTGGTGAAAATTAATATAGATACAGAGAGTGTAATACTATATAACAATAAGTAGTGGTAAAGTGT